GTGCCCTCGACCGTCGAGGACCCAGGGGGGATATGTTTGGACGTTTTCGGATCGAACCTTTTCCCCCATCCCCAACCCCCTTCCCCCTCCGAGCGGCGAGCCCAAGGCGGCACAGAAGCGCGTTCTGGCAACGGGCGAGCAATTTGGCCCCTGCTGACTTTTTTCAAAATAATATATTGGGATGAAACGCTGCCGCTGGATATATCGAGCACAGTTTATCACAACACAAACGCTCCTGCGATCCCCGCCAAAATGGCAAGAAATGGTAAGCTCAGATCCGCATGGCTACATTGCAACCGAACCGCTTGACCACCATCTCGACCGAACTGGCGGAATTCGACCACGCGTCCGACAAAATACGTTCGACGAGGGATGCGCTGCACAATGCCCCGGCCACGGGCAGCGCTACGAGGGAAAGCGGGCCCTTCGACGTGTCACTTTCAGCGCCCGTGAAAGTGACACCTCCCAGGGCCCACTTAAAGAGCACCAGAAAGGCTCCAAGAAGGTCCCGAGAAGGCCCGAGGGCGGCACCAAGAGGGCTCCCAGAGGGACCCAAGAGAGGCCCCAAGAAGGGCCCAAGAGGGCCCTCCGCGGTGTCACTTTCAACGCCCGTGAAAATGACACCTCCCAGGGCCCACTTAGGGCCTCAGAAAAGCTCTAAGAAGGCCCCGAAAGGGCCATAGAGAGCCGCCCTGGGTTCAACTCCGCGTGGCGGAGTTGGAAGCGATAACTTCAATACCCTACTGGAGGCCTCTTAGGGGCCCTAAGACGGCACTGAAGAACCCCATCGGGGCTTTTTCAAAGGCAGAGGAGGGCGCAAAAAGGGGCCTCAGTGAGCCCCTGGTCTAACTCCACCTGGCGGAATTGGAAGCGATATCGCCCGGCGCCTTCATGGAGCCGCTCGGAGCTTCCAAGACGGCTCCAGAAGGCCCCAGGAGGGCCCCAAGAGGATCGAACGACGATTCCTGGAAGTGCACCAGTGAGACCCTTGTTGACCTCCGCCTGGCGGAGTTGGAAGCGACAATTTCCAGTGCCCTCTTGGGGCCTCTGGGGGGCCCCTCAGAAAGCTTTGGGGAGCACAGTGAAGGCCTTCGCAGGGCCGCGTGAGAGCCGTACCAGGGCCGCATGTGTGCGCGGATGGGGGCGACGAGTGCTGACGCTGACGAATATGAGAATGATGAGGGCGATCAAGGCTGGCCCGAAACAAATCCTGGCGCCATTGCAGGCCGCCGATTATCGGCCACGCCGCCAGGACGACGCCAAGCAACAAAACGACACCAACCAACAAACCGACACCAACCAACAAACCAACAAATCGACACCGGCCAACAAAAGGACACCAAGCAACAAAACGACACCAAGCAACAAAACGACACCAACCAACGAAACGACACCAACCAACAAAACGGCACGAATCAACAAAACGGCACTGACCAACCAAACGACAAATCACTTCACGACACCAATGAACAACGCGAAATCCACCGACCGCCAACCAAGCATAAAATCAACCGACACAACGAAACCAACCCATAGAGCCAGACCAACCACTGGATTCGTGAGTCGGGGTAGTCATGGAAGTGAGCCGCTGCAGCCCGCGGAAGCCATTAACAGTGACCAGAGCACCGCAATGCAGCAACGTCCCCGGGCGGCGGCGGGAGTCTTGGATCTCCCGCGGGACTGGAGCGTAGCGAGTTCGTCCTGGGTCCGGTTTAGTGAAGTGAAGAATTTCGGGGTGCTTGCATGGCAAAAACCTTCACTTCACTAATCTGGGGCCCCTGGAGCCCCAGGGCGTTTCAGGTCCCCTCGCTGTCTGGGTAGTCCAGGGGGCGCAGTGGCGGCTTACCAGAGGCCCTGTTCCCTAGCCTCACTTGCTTTCACCCGTGGTGCTCGACGGCCGTCTCGGAGCTGTCTTGTGGCGGTCTGGGGCAATCCCGAAGCCTCTTGGAGCCATCCCAAGGCCCCAAGGCGCCACCAATGGGGGCCCCAAGAGAGCTCCCAGAGGGCCCCGAAAGGCCTACAACAGATTGCACGTTCGCGCGAATTCTTTGTACCATTTTGGGGGGTCCCTCTTGGGGCCCTCGGGGAACGTTCTTGGGGCCCTCCGAGGGCCCACTGGGGCCCCGGGAAGGCCCCAAGAACGCTCCCAGAGGGCCCCAAGAATGCTCCAAGAGGGCCCCAAGAGGACCCCCACAAGTGACAAAAACTATTTGCATGAGGGTGCAACTTACTCGGCGCCTCTTGGGGCGCTCTTGGAGCCGTGCTGGGCGCCACTCGTGGACGACATGGGCTGGGCGACGGCATGTGGACCCTGTCGCTTGGGCCATCGGGGGTGCTCCCCAATGGGGCCACGAAGCTTGTGAGCGTATGACGGAATGGGCTGGGCGGCGGCCTGTGGGCCCTGCCTGTGGGGCCGTCGGTGTAGCTCCCCGTGGGGCCACGAAGCGTGTGAAACGTATGCCGAAATATGCTGGGCGGCGGCCTGGGAAACCTGCCGCTGGGACCTTTTTTTGGTGGAGCTGCCTATAGGGGCACGAAATGTTTGAGGGTGTCATCAATGTGGCCTGGGCGACGGCATGTGGACCTTGCCGCCGGGACCTCCGATGAGCTCCTCATGGGGACACGAAGCGTCTGAGGGGCGTGCCGACATGGGCTGGGCGGCGCACTAAGGACCCTGCCGATGGGGCCTTCGGTGGAGCACCTCACAAGGCCACGAGACTTGCGGGGGATGTGGCGAAGCAGAGACGCGGGGGAACAAGGGGGGTGTTTTGATGATGTTGATGAGGATGGTGGTGGTATTGATGATGGAGACGGCGAGAATGCTGATGATGCTGATGATGATGGTGATGGCGACGATGACGATGGACGATGACGACGGGGACACGCGGAGAGCAGGGGCAGATACGCGAAGAGGGAGGACGAGGGAGGGGGCCGGAAGGAATGACGCGGGGCGGTGTCTCTTCAAAACGAAGAACCAACACTGCAATATGGTAGGAAATTTCTGGACGACCCCCCCCCGTGGCGCGGTCAATGTCCGCGACAGCATCGCTGGCACTACGAACGAAATGATCGAACTCTTCCTGCGACGTTACCCGCGGGGTGGATCAGCCAGGGATGGGGGTCGAAACCGCCCCAGCGCAAAGCAAATGTACAATCCTGAGAAACCCCAGCCCACATCAACCGATCCGCAACAAGCACGCAAGCCTTTGACGACCCCAACGCACGTGACATTGCATAACGCGACGCGCCATCGAAAACGTTCGACGCGCGGCCTCGGAATGACATCGGGCTTCATGGAACGTCGAATGGACAACATGAAAAACCGCCCTGTGGGCTCCGAGACCGAAAATTACTGATGTGAAGGATTTCGGCTCGTCGAGACGAGGGCACGCCGGCATTCCGTGCCAGCGAGCGCCTACCCGCCTGCGCCCAGAACTCCTGATCGTTCCTTGTCGCGCCTCCTACGTGGCCGTCGAATAACAGGTGTCGGCGACGACAAAAAATGCTAAACCTGCCCAGAGTTGCGCGTGCCCTCGACCGTCGAGGACCCAGGAGGGGATATGTCTGGACGTTTTCGGATCGAACCTTTTTCCCCTCCCCAACCCCCTCCAAGCGGCAAGCCCAAGGCGGCGCAAAAGCACTTTCTGGCAACGGGCGACCGCCGACAAAGGCACGCCGGCATTCCGTGCCAGCGACTGCCTACCCGCCTGCGCCCAGAACTCCTGATCGTTCCTTGTCGCGCCTCCTACCTGGCCGTCGAGTAACAGGCGTCGGCAACGACAAAAAATGCTAAACCTGCCCAGAGTTGCGCGTGCCCTCGACCGTCGAGGACCCAGGAGGGGATATGTTTGGACGTTTTCGGATCGAACCTCTTCCCCCTCCCCGCCCCCCCCCTTTCCCCTCCAAGCGGCGCGCCCAAGGCGGCGCAAAGGTAGGCACGCCGGCTTCCGTGCCAGCGAGTGCCTACCCGCCTGCGCCCAGAACTCCTGATCGTTCCTTGTCGTGCCTCCTGCCTGGCCGTCGTGCAACTGGTGTCGGCGTTGACAAACATAGCTGAACCTGCCGCATGGTGCCCGTGCCCTCGACCATCGAGGATCAAGGATGGGATGTGTTTCGACGTCTCGGTATCTTGGGCCGGTTAAAAACTTTTCGTCTTTGAACTTCAATCGTTCGGTTCGTGTTCCCCCCGTCTCTCTGCCTTCGCGAACCCTTTTCCATGTTGCTGCGCAAAGCCTTTTTGCCCGCGACACTGCCACGTCCAGAAAAGCGGACTCCGCGATTCTAGGAGAGGGTGCTCCTGGGGGTGGGCCCAGCGCGGCCACTTTGGTTCACTACGCTCGCCCGGGGCCGACCCAGATCAAGCGCAACCATGGGTGCTAAAAAAGACGGACCGAACGAGGCCCCTAAAAAATGATCGGTCGAGCGATGCCCTTGCGGTGCACTGCGCAAAAAGGAAGAAATCCAGCACGTGGCGGCGCGAAGACGGGGGCGTGGCGAGGGGGCGGGCGTCTCCAAGACGGCAGGCAAGATTCCGAAAGCGATCGGGCGCGCAGGTGCGTGCACCCAGAAATCCAAAGGGGGGCCTCGCATGCTCGACGCTACCTTTTTTTGTTCCAAAGGTCTGGCTGGCACGGGGCCTCACCAGTTGAACCATGTGAGGTCACCGTACCTATCGTCCCAGGTCACCCGCGTCTCGAGTTTATCGATATTCCTCAGTAGCGCCTCATATTCTACATTCAGATTATATAAAATTTGGTCCTGTTGACGCTCTAACGACTGAGGCCTGATACTCTGACTCCCTGGTGACACCTGCAGTTGACGCGCTATTAGCTCCAAGCGCAGTCTGGCCGACTTCAGCTTCTTCCCCCGAAACCGCATCGCACACTCCTCAGCTTTGGCCAGTTCCGTCGCGAGGAGATGCTCCTTCTCACGTAACGCGGGGGAGACCCTGCTCTCGGGTGTACTTCGGATGCCCCACATAGTCGACCTCGCCCGCTCTATCAAATTGGCCAGGTCTTCGCGCATCTCCGCTGCGACTCCGCGTGCCACATGCTCAGCCGCCTTGAGGCGGCCTCAAAGTCGGCCCGCACCTCCTCGCGGAAGGCAGAGGGGAGCACGCAGCCTCCGAACATGCATTGAAGTGCAACTGCAGCGGGGCTCCGTCCACCACGCGCTCCACAACCAGCGCGGTGAAGGGAGGTAGAAGCCACTCGCGCTCCCCGGGATACGCGCTCAGCTCCATCGTCGGGAAGGCGCGGGTGACGCCGGATATGGCGAAGAGCACGGTGTTTTTCTTGGGCGCCTGCTGGTTGCAGTGCGCCTCGGAGATCGAGGCGTCGACTGTCGTGCTGGAGGGCGCCGCCCAGAAGAAACGGTCGCCAGCGGCCTTGGCCCTGAAGCCATCGACTAAGGAGCTGGGCAGGCCGCACAGGCCGCGCGTTACAACCATGGGCTTCTCGAGCGTCTTCGCCGAGAGTCGCAAGAAACGCGCCCACCGGATCCACGCTCTCAGGCCGTCCAGGGCGTCCTGCTGGTCGCCAGCGCTGTCAAAGCAGACGCGGGGGGCCCAGTTCGCCACCTGGAACATTTGTGGATTTCGCTTTCCGCCCACATTCTGCCTGTACCTGCTGTAGAACTCGTCGCGCAGGGCGGGCTCTCCCAGGCCCTCTGGCAGTTCCGGGGCGTCTTCAAAGCAAAACAACCTGTCGATGTCGACGTCCTGCATGGCATACAGAACCCAAGTGGCGATGGCCAGCATTTCGTCCTGCAAGTCCTCATTCAGTGGCCTCGCAGAGTATTTGTCGCGCAGCACCGTGCACACCTCTGCGAGGAGCTGGATCTGCAAGGGCGTCGCGAAGCCCGCGGGATCAGTCTCCTTCTGGTTGTCGAGTAGCTCGTCCAGGATCGTACCGGGCTTCTGCGCGTATAGCTGTTGAACAAGAGTCATGAACCATTTGACCTGCTTCTCTTGGATCTCCGCCGATATCCGCGCGGCTCGGGACTTGGCGGTCGACCCGGCGCCCGTGATCTTGCCCGCAGCGTCCAGGATCAACGCATTCTGGGTCTCGTTCGCCGTGACCTGCGTCATCAGCCTCGTCAGCTCATCGAGCGCGAAATCGTCTGACTGCTGCGCGCGCTCTCTGGCCTCCGCTCTTTTCCTTCCTGCCAACGCCCTCGCCTCTTTGATCTCCGCCTCGAAGTCCTTGCGCGGCATCTCCAAGCTCTTTCTCGCCTGCTTCTGTCGCTCCGCCGCCGCGGTGGCCCTGGCCTGCTGCTCCAGCCTCTCGGCCGCCTCGTTGAGACGCCTCTCCTCTGCGGCCTTCGTCGCCCTCTTCTGGCGCTCGGCTGCCTCGTTGAGACGCCTCTCCTCTGGAGCCTTCGTCGCCCTCTTCTGGCGCTCGGCTTCCGCTTTCGTCAAATCCTCTCGGATTGAAGCCTCGTCTTTGAGAAAATAAACACTGTACCTAAGGCCAGATTTCTTGCACTTCTGCAACTCATGCCAGCACGTGACGCTGTCAGTGATAGGCATGCCTTTGACCATGCTGATGCTCCAGCCTGGCCGCACGCCTAAGAATCGGGCCTGGCACGACACGCGTTCCACAATGGTAGTTCCCTGGGTCCAAACGAGACCGTGCGCGCCCATGGCGAACTCGAATTTAACGACGCCTGGCTGCAACGGCATGTCCGACAGCTCACCTGGCATACCCGCTGATGTAGGAGTCTGAACCATGCGCTGTCGTGTCCGTGCGCTGCTCGCGCTTGAGCCAAAATGGCTTGAGCCATACGGAGGGCTCTCATGGGCCGTGTTGGAGCTCTCTTGGGCCGTCTTGGGGCCCTCCTGGGGGCCTCTTGGATCGTCATATGGCCGTGTTTGGGGCTTTTGGGTCCGTCTTGGGCGCTGTTAGGACCGAAGAAGCGAATATGCTAAAAACGTACGTTATCCGAAAGGAATTTGGCTGTTTTTGCCTTTTGGTGACCTTCTGGGAGGCCTCCTGGGCCGTCTCGAGGGCCTCTGAGGCCAAAAATATAAATTTCCCGCTGGTTTGTGAAAGATTCGAATTTCTCGAAGACCTTTTCGGAAGCTTCTCGTGTACCCTTGGTGGCCTCCTGGGCCGTCTTGGAGCGCTCTTGGGGTCCTTTTGGTGAGTCTTGGAGAGCTCTTGGGCCATCTGTAAACAATACTGGGCGGATTCAGGGCTGCTCTGAGCCTCGGGGGCGGGTCCCGGAGGGCTCCTGGGAGGGGGGCACTACCTATGTACAAGGGGGGGGGGGCCCTGCGGGTCCCCCGGGTCGGAACCCCCCATATGTATATACATGCGTACACACCTACATACATACATGCATAGATGCATTCATACACACATACATGCATACACACTCACGTTCAAACGTACATACATCCATACATACATACATACACTCACACACCTACATACATACATATATTCATACATCCACACAGTCATGCATGCATGCATACCGACATACATACATACATACATACATACATATATACATACATACATACATACATACATACATACATACATACATACATACATACATACATGCATACACACATACACACATACATACATGCATGCATGCATACATACATGCTTAATCATAGATATATGCATGCATGCATGCGTGCATGCATGCATACATGCATACACCCATATGCATCCATACGTGTATGTATATAGTTATATATATATATATATGTGCACACATACATACATACATACATACATACATACATACATACATACATACATACATACATACAGTCAGACAGACATACATACATATATGCGCACACATCTACATACATATGTATTTGTGCATGTTCGGGGTCTGCGCGGATTTCTCGAAGGGCGCTGGACCCCGCTCTCCCGGCGCGCGGAGCGCACCATGCGGCGGCGGATGCGCCGCCGGCGCCGCCAGGGCGGGCACAGCGGCGACCCGAGGAGTCCGCGCTGAGCTCCGACAGTTTCCGTTTGCCGTTCATGCTGCTCCTCGACTCCGAGAGGGCAGGGGCTCCGCAGAAGGGCCGGGGCCGCCGAGACCTTCCACGACACGCCTCGACAGCACTGATCTGTGTCAGGATCTGGCTGCGTGAACTGCCAATGCATCTGCGCGTCGGGGCTTGATGCATTGAGCGCGATGTGCTTGATGCCCCCCCCCGCTTATTCGATGCTGGGCAGCGTAAGATCTGCCCAACCACCCGCCCCCAGAACGCGCCTCAAGCTGAGTCGACATGCAGGAGGGCAAAGGAGGGGGGGGGGCGACACCGACAGGGGAGGGGGCTCCAACAACGTTTGCGGTCTTTTGTGCGAGGCGGGGATTGATCCGTCACCACCGCCTGTTCTGCGAGACCTTGGCGAGCGGTGGATGTGGACATGCTTGTCCCTGGTCCAGGCACCAATCTATTCTTAGGTCGGGCCTGTCCCCCTACAGGGGGATTTTGGACGAGAAATAAAACATTTGCCAAACACACTCAAAAGATGCCGAAACATACTCAAAAAATGGTCCTCATATTATTTTTTGACTATTTTTGAATATGCCCCGTAGAGGGACAAGCCCGACTTAAATCTATTCATATCTACCGCATGCCGACGTCCCAGGAGGTGGATCCCCTAGGCGGCGGCTGTGGGTAGGTCCCCGCCTCCGATATGCTGCCGAAGGTACAGGAACAAACACATAGCAGGAACATACGTGTTTCGGCGCTGGGCCTCCCCCCTCCTTGGCGCGCGGAGCGAGCCAAGTGTGGAACTCCCAAAAACGCATGTGTCCGCAATTGTTTTGGTGTGCCGCGATGGGGTGCGGGAAGCCCCATGGCGCGTTCCTGGCCCGCGCAGATTTCTTGGATCGGCGCTGGGCCCCCCCTTGCGGAGCCTTCGGCACCGCACCTGGCGCACGCGGATGTAAGATATCCGAGCGGAAACAAGCCTCCCAACAAGGACCGCATCGTCGATGCTTCTGCGATGCATGACCGATGCATCAGCGCCTTCGGCGTGGAGAAAATCGGGTTCAACATCGACCAGCCGCATCGCCGATGCGTCGGCGATGCGGCGCGACACTCCGACCCCACCTGCTCGGACCCCATGTGGGAGGCCTCGAACTTGTGTGTGCCGTTGCTTGCTCTCCGATGCAAAAGAAGACCCCCGGACCCCTTCCTGCAGCAGGCCGGCACCCGTCCCTCGCGTCACCGCCCCCTTGCCGGCGCGCCGCCGGCGCCTCCTCTGCCCAGCTCCGAGGAGCGGGCCGAGGGCGATCGAGGCCAGCCCGTAGATGCCGGTCGCCTGCGCCTCCTCGGAAGGGTGTGGGTATCGCGGTGGCAACTCAAAGGAATACGGGATGTAGTGGTGTGGGTGGGAACGGGATCCGCAGCGAAAGAGGCTGCGAGGCTGAAGCACACACAACAACCACGGCCTCCCCAGAAGCGTCTCGATGTGAGCGGCGGAAGCAAGCGGTCGCCGCACGCGAAGACGTGGCGACCGCACGCCGCGGCGCACGCGGGCCGCCAGCGTGGCACGTCGCGTGGAGAAGAGGGCGGTTAGAGAAGAAGAGAACACGGCATAAACAGAAACTTTTGGCGCTCCGCGTGGATGTCGTGGATCTGCGCTGGACCGACCCCCCTCCCTGGCGCGCGGAGCGCGCCAGGGGCGGCGCCAGAGGCGCCGGCGAAGGGCCCCAGCGCGGATCCACGAAATCCGCGCGGAGCGCCAGAAATTTAGGACTATGCCGTTTTTTCTTCCTCGAGGCTACGCGCGACCTTACGCGGAAAGCTGGCTGGACTAGGCAGCAGAAGGAGGGGATTGGACCATGGGGTGGTAGGTTGCATGTAAGAAGTAGGACTGTGCATCTTCCAGGATATTGGTCGATTCATGTTTCCGATGCGATAGTGGGCCGCTGGTAAACCAAACTGTCCAAGCGTATCGGACGCCAACGCCTTGAGCCAAACGACAGCAGAAGACAGCTGGATGCTCCCTACGCTCGCTATCTGTATATCCCAGCCCTCTGATCTGTTTCAGAGTGAAGCGGGTCTTGGTCGGATTGAAGCCGATTTCGACCAGCCACGGATGTACCAGAGCGGATGCTGAACTTAGCCTCCGAGGAGCTGCAACCTGATTTCGCGCAGGGGCGAGGAGGATAGACAGATCGAGGACCGAGGGCTCTTGGGCATGCGTCTGGCGTTCAGGGGAGAGGCCTATGGTTGCCTCCAGGGACCGCTGGAGACCTCAGGAAGTCCATGGTGGCCTCCGGAGGGAGGCGTCCCGAAAGAATTCGTGATGGCCACTTGTCCGAATTGCAAGCCCAGCGCCCTGAGGCCCACTTCGGGCCCCTGCAGGACCGTCAGCATTGAAAAGGAGGCTGGGCGAAACGCCAGCCCCTGGAGGTACAGCGAACATCGGCATCACCACCTCCAGGAGCCAGGACACCCTGGCTGGGCTTTGCGTGGCCGGGTTCTTCCACACCTTTAACTACTTTCTCGCGCCTCGTGCGAGGGAGGCTAGGCGTCGTACAGCCTGCTCGCCTTCAACACCTATCTACCTAGCCAGGAAGCCCAAAGATCCTGGCTACTCAATTTTTTCGAGCCGGGGCATTTTCGCATTTTCTGGGGCCCCGAGACCCTTACAGATCGATCCAGCTCGACAATTGGCGCAGAAAGATGGGGTCCAGGGCTTCAGTCGTGATTTATCACAGTGCTTCAACTTTTTCGAGACGTCCGATCTCACGGAAAATCCTCCTGGCTGCTTTGCGGCGTCCCGCTCGAGACATCTCCAACCTCAGAATCGGGCAGGCAGCGTGGACTTCCTCGCTGGAGGGTGGTGGTAGTGCCGCGTCTCCCCCCTCCGCCGATGAAGGGGGTCGAGAGGTCCAGGGGGCACCATTGAGCACAGCACGACGGCGGAGACCTGGGTCCTTGTCGCGCGCCCTCTCATCTGCCGCCGCTGCCTGGGCCGCGGCCTCGCCACCCTGCTCACCGACGAGGACATCGGGTGTCGTGCTCTGCGGCCGCGAGGGGGGCTTCCCCGCGCCGGCGGGGACCTTGCCAACACCGGAGGGCCGCTTCTGGGCAGCCTTGTCGGGGACGCACAAGGCCCGGGCCAGCGCAAACCCGGGCCAGCCATGAGCCGAGGCACCCCTGGGGCGGCGGAGGGCAGGAAGGCGAAGTGGGCGCCACGTGGCTCCAAACCCTGGGCATAGGCCCGATCCTGAGAGCCGACGCAACGAAAAAAAACAGCATCGTAAAAGATCACGACTGGAACCCTGGACCCCCTCTTGCTGCGCCATGTTTCGAACCGGGTCAAAACGTGAGGGTCTCGGGGCCCGAAGCCGGGCGAAAACGCCCGGCTCGAAAGAATCGAGACGACAGGATCTCCGGGGAGGGGATTGGCTGACCCCCGTTCGCGCTGACCCCCGTCACGTGAGGCCCGACCTTGGCCGGCTGGGCCGGCTCCGGCGGAAGCGGCTCGGACTTCTCCGCCTGCTGCGAGGGCGGCGCTGCAGTGTCGCGGTCGTGCACGGCGACCTTCAGCGCGTTCGCTCTGAGGAAGGCCTGGAACTCCTCACCAGCGGCGGCGACGACGACGACGACCACGACGATAACAATGACGACGACGACGACGACGACGACGACGACGACGACGACGACGACGACGACGAGAACGACGACGAGAACGACGACGACGACGACGAGGACGAGGACGAGGACGAGGAGGACGCCCAGGACGACGCCGACTCCGACATGGACGCCGCCGCCGACGCCGCCGCCGCCGCCGGTCACGGGCGGCGAGCGTATCCATATCGGCGCCCTCGCGGTCTGGATTCTGGAGCGCGATCCCGCGGATTCGCGGTCGCACAGATGCTTTCTGCGCAGGGCATCCGCGAAAAGGCGCCCCGTATCCGCGGGGTCGCGGCCCAGGGGCCCAGCCCGCGAGGCCGCGCCATGGATGTTCTCCCGCCCAGGAACTCCCTGGCGGGCCACGTCCCCACGAAGAACACCCTCTGGTGCCCGAACTCTGCCTTGCCTGCGTCCCCCAGCTCGCACGGCCCCGTCCGCAGCTGCTGGCCGAAGGCCTCGACGGTGGCGTAGACCCTGTCGCGCGCCCCAGCAGCGGCGGGGTCATCGCAGGGCAGCTTGCTCGCGCTCTCCTGCAGGGGCGCAAGCTACATCAACGCAAACTCTCGGAGGTCCGCGCGACTTCCACGGGTCAGCGTTGAACCCCCCTTCCCTGGCGCCAGGGGAAGGTTCCAGCGTTAGGTCGGGCATGTCCTCCTACAGGCAGGCGGATTTGTGAGGAAAGATAAAGAATAGTCATATAAAAATCCGAAATAGCCAAAACGAGTCGACAAATCGTCCCCATACAATGTTTTACTACTCTTGCATTTTCCTCCTGTAGAGGGACACGCCCGACTTAATTCCAGCGCCGGCCCGAGAGACCCGCGCGGAACTCCGACGGCGCACGCTGCACGCAACTTGCTGTGCCTCGGTCTCCAGGGTGAGGAGCATCGGATTCAGGTGCGCGGCGATCTCCTCGAGAAGAAAAAAGCGCCATAAACATGTACTGTTGGCGCGCCGCGCGGATTTCTTGGATCTGCGCCGGACCCCCCCTCCCCGGCGCGCGCGGAGCGCGCCAATGGCGGCGCTGGAGGCACCGCCGGGGGGTCCCAGCGCGGATCCAAGAAATCCGCGCGAAGCGCCAAACGTTTATGTTTACAGTGGAGGCCAGTCCACAAGAAACCTTCCACAAGAAACCCAACCCTGAGATCCCAGGACGTCCATGGATTTTTGGTGTGGGAGCGTCGCGCTGTCCATGGCGCAAACCATCGAAACTCAAGAAACCCGGAGCACCCTGGAGGCAAGCAGGCTGCTTCTTGGCATGGGTCTCCACTGTATGCCGAGTAGATGGGGTCGGAGGATCTCGCCGCATTGCCGATACATCGGCGACACATCGGCGATGCACTGGCGACGTCGGCGATCCATCGGCGACGTCGGCGTGGAGAAATTTGGGTCCCACAGCGAGCCGCATCGCCGATGCATTGGCGATACGGCACGATCCTCCGATCCCATCTACTCCGACCCCATCTAGGAGGCTTAGATCAATCCTCAGAGAGCGTGGTCCCGGAGCAGGTGACGCCCACTCGCAGCGAGGCCAGCCCCAGGCGCTTCGCCGCCGCCCCCAGCTCCGCGGAGGCCTCGGGCGGCGACCCATCGGGCCCCGGCAGCAGCAGGGGCGCCAACTGCAGCGCCACGGCCGCCTCCTCGGCGGGGGGCTCCGCGCCGGGCGGGAGCTGCACGCGCACCTGGGGAGGAGGCGGGCTCAACCCTGATGGCCTCAGGAGTGAGGCGTCCGGAAAGAATCCTGGTGGCCTGAGGGAAACCCCTGGTGGCCTCAGGAAGTCCCTGGTGGCCCTCAGGAGGGAGGCGTCCCGAAAGAGTTCGTGATGGCCACTTGTCCGAATTGCAAGCCCAGCGCCCTGAGGCCCACGTCGGGCCCCTGCAGGACCGTCAGCATTGAAAAGGAGGCTGGGCGACACGCCAGCCCCTGGAGGTACAGCGAACATCGGCATCACCAGCACCACCTCCAGGAGCCAGGAAACCCTGAGATCCTGGCGACCCCATTTTCTCGAGCCGGGGCATTTTCGGCGGGGAGCGGTCAGAGCGTCCAAAACGGCCTCGGCGAGAAAGCCAAAATCATTGATTTTACAAAGGTTTTGGCCCCATTTTGGCCTTCTGAGGGGGCAACGCTAATTAAGGCTCCCCTCTTCTTTGAAGCCAAAATCATTGATTTTACTAAGGTTTTGGCCCCATTTTGGCCTTCTGAGGGGGCAGCGCTAATTAAAGCTCCCCTCTTCTTTGAAGCCAAAATCATTGATTTTACTAAGGTTTTGGCCCCATTTTGGCCTTCTGAGGGGGCAGCGCTAATTAAAGCTCCCCTCTTCTTTGATCGATTTCCTCCAAGATGGCCCCAAGAAGCGCCCAGGAGGCACCAAGAGGCCCCAAGATGGCCCCAAGATGGCCCCAAGAGGCCCCCTGGAGGCCCCCAAGAGGATCCCAAACGGCCCAAAGAGGCCCCCCCGAGGCACCCAAGACGCCGAAAAGCCCCTCAGGACGACCCTCTACTCGCCTGGGCGTCGTTTCTGGACGGGCTGGTGGGGATACGCGAAGCGTCTAGAATTTGTTCGAGACGTCGGATCTCAGGGAACGGCGGCATGCACCAGCGCTGCCCTGCATCAGCAGGAGACCTGCGCGCGCCGTTGCGCGCGCCGGATCCACACGCCGAGTCCGCGGCGGATGCCAGAAGAGACCCCCGTTGCGTGCAGGACAGACGAGGCCCCCGAAAGATGTGGCGCAGCCATCACCACCATCGCGAGGAGATGGGGGTCGTCGTGGTGGCATGGCGACGCTGCTTCTCGGCGCATCTCAAATGCCCTGCTCGGAGAAGCATCGTGGACTTCCTCGCCAAGGGTGGCCCTGCTGGTGCTGGTTCGGAGGTCCGCATAGATTTCTTGGGTCGGCGCTGGATCCCCCTTGGCACGCCCCTTCCCCGGTTGTTTGGCCAGAGGCGCCGCCCAGGGATGCCCAGAGTGGGGAGGGGTCCAGCGCCACCCATGAAATGAGCGCGACCTCCTGAAATCGAAGTGTATGTTTATGCCATCTCTCGCTCCTCGAGGACAAGACCGTCAACAGCGACTGCGAAGCAAGATTGAAACCGAACAGCCAGCCAAACTGAAACCGACCGAAGCCACATCCGGAGGCAGCCTGGGGAGAAACGACTCACTGCACCGACCTTGCAGACGTACTGCACCGGATTTGTGCGTGGATTTCTGTGAATGCAGAACCCCGAAACGGCGAGCGAAAAACGAAGTGAATTTCACTTGGATCTTTGTAGTCTTCCTTCCTGACCCCAAAAAACCCGCACGAAAGTCACTTCGAAATCCGGAACGCAATTCTCCAGGACAATCCGGGTCCATCCCGTTGTTTTCCGAGCGAAATCCGCTCTGCGATGTTGGCGGCATGACGCGACGAAACGGCAACGACGCAGCAGCCGACCGAACCGGAACGAACCAAACGCCACCAGCTGCGACGCGGCCGAACCGACCGGACCGCGCACACCCAAGCCAGGCAGCACTGGCTCATCTTTCGGGGGGTACTCTCACCGATCCGCCAGGTCCTTGGATCCCGAATCCATGTTTGACGACCTGCCAAACCTCGGCCTGCCGCAAAGGGGGGGTAACGCAAAGGGGGGGGTAGCGCACGCAACCCAGATTGAGCAATCAGAAGCGGCGGGCCGTCTCGCAATGTGTGCGGCGCTCAGGATGCCCGCTGGATGTCTGACGGCGGCACTCCCAAACTCGAAGCGCAATGAAAAAATCGCAACAAAGTTGCGGTCTACACACCAGGCGAACGCAACCTAGGCAGACATTTGGATGCGCGAAACTGGCTGGCGGCCAAAAGTTGCAATGCTTTAAAGTGTCCCAAAAGTGCCCCTAAACTGCCCCCGTGGGTCAAAAAGTGGCTCGAAAGTGTCCTTAAAGGGGCCCAATGCTGCTTTGCACGAAATGAAAGAAACCGAACAAGTGCATCCACTTTTTGGTGCGCGCAGCGGCCGCGCGCGCCCGGCCCGTGTGCCGCAGCGTAACCCGCGGGTTAGGGTCGGTCAGAGAAGAGCTCTTTGTGGCTCACGCACAACTCACTACGGCGTTCACCGCGCAACGAACGTCGGGCCAGATGAAAGAGCCGGGGATTTACAAAAACGTGCAATGCAACAAAGGGCCCCTTTAGGGTGCAAAAAAGGCATGTTTCTTCACCCCCCCTTTGTTGCCCCCCCCTTTCCGTCAGCCCGAAAACCACCCCAACCCGAAGACCCGAGCTTCCGGGGTTGGGGAGGGGGAGCGGTGTGGTTTTTCAAACGATGTTCCCCGACCCCCCCCCGGAAATGGAGGGCACCTCGGGGCCTTCGGGTTGGGTGGGCGGCGAATGCTATATAGCGTATGCCCGAGAGAGCCTGGAGGAGCTCCTCCGCCAGCTGCCGCAGGAACGCGCAGGTGCCCCTCTGCGCGGGCGAAGCCCGCTCGAAGCGGGTCCGCGCCAGCCGCGGCCCCTCGGCGGCCGCCTCGCCCTCGCCGCCGGGGAGTTCCTGCCAACTGCCGACCGCCCCGATGTTCGGACGCCCGACGTGGGTGCAGTCAGCCAGTATGGCAAGGGTGCGCGGTGAGGATGCGAGGGCCGTGGACGCCCATCTCGAAGCTTTTCGAGCGGGGCGCGGCCAGCGAGAGCGGCGAAGGATTGACCGAGGAGGCAAGGATGCAAGGGCACCCTTGGGAAGGTTGCCCATCCTTACTATGCGGGTTGACTGCACGGCACAGATCGTACAGTGCCCAACAACAAAAGCTGTCCAAAACCGACATCGGCCGCTGTTGGGCAGGCGGCCCCTTCTGTCTTCAGCGAACAGCAGCGCCCGCGGAGAAGGCGCGGGCAGCGAGTCCCGTGTAAAAAAAAAGGAGCACGAGCGGCTGTCGGGCACCGCACCCGCTCTCTCCGCACCCGCTTCGGCCGTCCCGAGCTGTCGACCGCCCTCGGCTCCGCGAGCCACTCGAGGGAGCACCGGACGCCCGCCGCGTCGGGCGGGAAGCGGGCCTCCCGGGCGGGCACTCCGGGGGCGGGGCCCCGAGACGCGGGGCCCCGTCGCGGTCGGTGGGCGGCGAGGCCGTGGGCCGTGCAGGCTCGGCCTGGAATGCAGGGCCCTGGGGCACAGAATGAAATACACACACAAATAACAGGATTCCCCTATATTTTCCCATATGTTCTGGGATTTTGTCTTCCCCCCCCCCACTTCCCATATTTCCCAATCTTTTCGGGGGAATAGACGATTAATTGTCTGTGTGTTCTTTTCCCCCCTGATGGAAGGCCCCTCGCCCATCCGTGTACAGCCAACCCGTGGCATAAACGCCGACGGTAAGGATGCAAGGGCCGACAGGGCCATTTCGAGGCTTTTCGAGCGGGGCGCGACCGGCGAACGTGGCCAAGGATGGGCCGCAGGTGCAAGTATGCAAGGGCACCCCTGGGAAGGCTGCCAGTCCTCAGCATGCGGGCCGACTCTAAAGAGGGCCCCGTCCCCCAGGGCCCCGCCTTCGAACCACCGAGTGGCAAGAGAAGCGGCAAGAACAGAGGCACGGGCGGAACCTTTCGGAACTCCGCGCGGATGGATCGGGTCGGCGCCGGACCCCTGGATAGAGGCCCAAAAATCCACCCCCATAAGAAGCACCCCGACAAGAAAGGCTGTTCAGTAAACGCGCCCTGGGAAGGAATCGAAAAGGGCAGGGCTGTTTAATATTACGCCCAAGGCCGCTCAGTAAAAACGCCAGTTGAACGACGATCAAAAACGGGTCTTGCGCGAGATGACGCAGCGACATTACGCGGCGGCTTACGCGGGCCGCCAGCGCGGCACGCCACATTGGGACGAGGGCGCTTACGCGCGAGCTTACGCGTGCAGCTTACGCGCCGATGTCGCCGCAGACGACCCCGTCTTCTTACGTCGCTCAAGTGTCGGGCCCGGGTAGTTTTTTTCCTCCCTTGTCTGGAAGCGCCCGCAGCGCCGCCCTGGCGAGCTGCACGTGCTGTAGGGCAGCGGGGGCCCGGCGCCGGCCCAGGGGCCGCCCCCCCCCCAGCCGCGGACGTTTGCGCTCGTGCTCCGCCGAGGGCCTCCACCCACGCGGTGAGCGTGAAGTCCGCCGCCGGCAGGTCCGGCGGGTCGCGCCTCGCCAGGGTCCGCGGCGGCGCCGTCGTCGCCGCCGTCGCCGTGGAGGAGGGAAGGAGGAGCGCAGAGGAGCGGTGCAGCAGGGAGGCGAGGAGGAGGAGGAGGCGGAGCAGGGAGGAGTCTCTTCCTCCTCGCAGGCTGCTTGCACGGTTGCTCTACGTGGGCTCCTCAGCTTTCGCTTTTTTTGTTGCTGTGCCCCTCTGCATTCCGCACCTGTTCGCAGCCTAATGTGTGGCCACTGTGCCTGAGCGGCTAACCCTGTGCCCCTGCTATTAAAACCCTGGGGATAATAACATTCGGGGTGCAGGGGGGATAATAATGAACGTTTTCCCGGCAGATCGGATGATGATGTTGATGATGATAATGATGATGATGACGATGATGATGACGATGATGATGGTAATAATAATCATGCTAATGAAGAAAAGGATGACAAGACGATAATGATGATCCCTGGCGCTCCTCGAGATCCTCGCTCTGATGGTCCTTCCCCACGTTCCTGACTCGGGAAAGACTGACAAGTTGAGAATCCCACAGCCATACCACACGTTCGTGATTCGGGGACGCTGAAATGGTGAGAATCCCAAAAAGTCCTGCCACACGCTCGTAACTTGCGAACGCTGAAATGGTGAGACCCCCATTGCCATGCCACACGTTTTTGATGATGCAACGAGTTAACATAACAACATAGTAATTTCGATTCGCATCTGTCCCCCGCGAAAATAAAGTTCGGCCTTGCCGCCCCTCTCTCCCGACCAAATCTGTATTGGCCCGGGATAATAAACTGTCAGGCCTCAAGGGGGGGGGACTCTTTATTATCCGGGGGTCGAGGTTATATCACATAAGCATGACGTGGCCATACACACGCTACGATCC